TAACGATTCTCGATTCCGATTCTTTTAAGAGGCAGGGTCAAAAAAGTTTAGCTAACCTTGCTAACCAACGGCCTTTCTGAAGGAAATACTCCTTCTGTAAAAATACTCCTTTTGTCACAAATTTTGCATTTTGCCGAGATTTCGTTATTTTTAGAAAAGTGAAGCCACACTTTGGATCGCCGACGTAAGGTACTCATGTTCGACTCGCGTGGTTATGCCAACACTTCCGGTAGACGCTTCTTCGTTGGTGTTGTTCAGCGGTTTCTTCTTCCGCTCGGCGGACTGTGAATATCGAAACTAGGAATCGAAATTTTAACTTTTGAACGATTCCGGGAAAAACGAAAAGTTAGTCTCGGTTCCAATTGATACTCGATTCTCGATACCCAACCCTACCTGTCGGCTAGCTCAACCATTTGCAAATCGAGCTTAAATTAAGATCTCCTCAAAGCCCGGGGCCAGGCACCATTAGACTTCTCCACTGAAACCTGCCATCTCAATAAAGAACAACAAACAGACCACAAAGTCAAATTACAGCAAAAAAAAAAAAAAAAAGGTTCCTGCTGCAGAAGGACTTAATGTAAAAGGCGGTAGGAATTTCAGATTTATATATTACTAACAAAACATCTGGGGCACTTATTGCATATTTGCAGGGACCTAAATAAACATCAGCTACAGTTTCAGATGGCTCTGACTTCACAATACAGGAATGCCCCCGTTTCGCTGCGTTTCCCGATTGTCACCAATGGTTTTGGAGCTCAGCAGATCCAGCAGTTCTGAGAAAGCTCGGAAACGTTGCAGCGTTACACAACTGCGGTTCCTGGATCCAGTGCTTTAAAATTACAGGCTATCAGATTCAAAGCAGCAGAGGAATAGCTGAACATACGAAGGGGGAAGGGTTAGAGAGCTGCATCTCCTGAGGTTTCTGCCGCACGTCAATCACACTAACAAAAAGTTAATTGAACATTTTACAAGAGTCATCTAAAACAAACATTATTTTAGCTCTGCTTTACACAATGACTTTGAGGATGCTTTACTGAATGTGTAATAAAAACAGAAAGAGAATGCATGTTGCGTGGTTATGTGCCTAAATCTTTTTGTGGATAATCAAACGTATACAGCGATGGGAGTTTCATATCTGGAAAATTGTTTTGCACATTTAAGGAGAACCTCTATAATCAAAACTTGCAAATTAAATTGCAGCTCAAGTCAATATAATTACATGTTCTGATGTATTTGAAGGATCCAAATAGAGCTTTGGCAAATGCAGTGTTCTTGATAAAACAAGTCCATGAATGTAGACTAAACCAGATAAGAAGCAGAAAGACATTAATCTAGAGGGTTCAAATGCCCAAATAGGGTAGTATGAGACTGTTTACCATGTGACAGCAGAAATGTGTCAGCTATACTTTATATATGTGCAATCCGACACTACAGAAAACTATAATCTACATGCTGTTACAGACGGGTGCCAGCTCCATTGAACATCACTACCTGCCATATTAATGTGCTAATTTTACAACAGTTCAAATGCAGCTAATCCAGCCATATACTGCATTACTGTTATTATTAGTCTTTAGTATATAGTGTTAACAGTAAATGTAAAGCAGCTGTTTCTGAAGTAATGCTTAACTTAATAATTGGTTGTAAATAATCTTAAGTTATTATGTTACAAATCAATAAATATGTACACAAGTAAAGAAAAAAGGAGTGCCATTTAAATTGGTATTAAAGATCTTTCCAGGGAAATGACTAATACCTATATTTTGATAGATACTGTTTTCTGTGATATAAAATTACTCATTTCATTTCATTTCATTTCAATAGTCATTGTGCTCATTAGGAGTTATCACCTAATGTAAAAAAGCATAATGAATTAAAAAAATGACCAGCGAGAATTAAATAGCTCTAACACTTCATCCTGAAACCTAACCGGCACTTCATCTCAAACCTCAGTGTTATACAGGCAAATGTAAGATCCCAGAATCCCATTTTTGTCCCCTACTGTATCCCTTGATAACTTTTTACAATGTGCTGAGAGACAACAGTCAAGTAAGATAAAGATTCAACAGCTCATGAACAAATGGGGTATTGCATTGCAACATGCTTCAACATGCAATAAACGCTTCACCATCATCATGCACTCTGTCAAAAAGACAAATATTACAGTTTATAAAGTTTAATTTCATGGACAGAATGAACAGCCTCAAATAGTTGGCTGAAAAAATGCTCCCGATACCAATATGTTGGATGGATTTACTAAAATTGACAGAGGCAGAGTGTTGCCTACTTAATTGCTTACGGTCTTTATGACGCATAGCAACACAGCTAAAAGTATTCCTCATATGTTGGACCTTTTAACTCCTTCCCCCTGTTGTAACATGCCTTCTCAAGCCTCAATATGAAGTGTGTTAGTGATGCTTGAGTTTCAGGTGTCCGAGTGAGTGGAGGGGGCGTGGCTTAGCCACAGGTCAATTGTTCATTTGATGTTGTTGAGATGTGGGCATGGCACTCAAAAATGAAGGTAGATGAACATGTGCAGGGTTTTTTTTTTACATAAAAATTCCATATGTGTCTTTGGATTACAGAGTCATCTTTTTGGCAGTAGAAAGTGCTTATGACAAGGGAGAAAAGTTGGTTCTCCCAGGTCATTGCGACTTAGAAGAGCGACTTTTTTCAACACAAGCGACTCTGGACATGTCTGTTTTAAGACGGACCCGTCTAAAACCCCCACAGGCAGCCTGTTACCATAACCCAACAAAGAGGGAGCCAAAAGTGCAAAATGTGGAGAAACAGTGCTGTTTTGCATTCCAGAGGCTATTCCAATCATATGTCACCATATTCAATCTGTTCCTTTTAAGGCAAGGGCATTCCCCATATATTTTCCAAACACCACAGTGTTATCAGATTCCATTTCATGGCCAATTACTGGCCCGCTTCACTGTCCGTGCTGCTACTCTGACAGCACATCACTCGGTCGTTCTGCGTTCAGCTCTTTCCTCAGGCTCTAACTCGTACAACTAAAGGTCAAGGCAATAAAACGAGGTCACGAGTAACAATCTGACAGATTCTGTACTAAGCTGCATGCACATTATAGCCAAATATGCAGCTGCCATACAGTAGACATCGAAGCCTGGCCTGTGCGGTTGTGTTAGTAAATGGGGCCATAAAATTAATTTAATAGTTTGCAATAAGTACAGAGCTTGCATTCTTTGTAGGTTGGGATTTATGGTTGCCCTGCCAAAACGCAAACAGCCACAATCAAGATGCTTCATAAATGCATCGCTTTAGTTCAGCAAGCACTCAATGGTTCCCAGCAGAGAAATTTCCCAAAGCATCCACTCTAAACCCCCCAACCCCTCAGCTCCATCCCAAATCCCACAACAGACATGAATTAAACAATATAAGAATGTTCATGACCGGTGATTCCACGCCACAAATATTTTTTGAGAAGAGAGTGTAGAAAACTCCAAATCCACTTTGTACAATACCACTGTGAATCTTTATGCGTTGCAGCATCCTTAAACCTAATCTTGGGACAGTGGTGCCCTCCTTACTGTATGTAGACAGGATGCAAAAGGAGCCTAGGAATGGTCCTCTACTTACACAAAATCCCCCCAAAATATATACAAAAAAAGCCCAAAAGAGTTCAATTCAATCCCATTGTTGCATTATTATTATAACAGACTTTTGTCTAACTGTGGTGAACATTATATTTAAGTGAATTTCCCTGACACATTTCACATCACAGGTTTCTCCATGACAACAACTTCTCCTTGGTCTTTAAAAATGGCTGACATTATTTTAGTGATCAAATTTAGCACTCTTATGGAAATATGATAATATTTTGCAATTATCTTTATCGGGCTCATTTTCACATTGTTTGTCATAAATCAAAATTCTAATCAAAATATGACTTTCTGTTACAAAACAGAGGCATTGATCTCATACATATCCACTGTAGTGGACACCACAGGCCTTAAATCACATTTATCAGGCATTTTGGGTGACACAAGTGAATAGGTAAAGAAAGTATCAATATTCCTATTACATATTAGATGTTATTATGAAAATGTTGAAAAATTATTACTCACATTACACTTCATTTTTTCATTACATGTTGCCCCAAGAACACACGATACGATAGATATATTGTATTGAATGGGAATGGCATTTATGGCTATGTTTACACGCAAATTGCAGTAAAATTGTATTTTATTTAATTCTATGATATCTTTCATAACAAAGTTGAGAATCATCTTTAATCAAAGTTGGTTAAAAAAATCCTGAAATTTAAATGTATTGGTGAATTAAAAAAAACAAATCATGAGTGCTGTCCACTATCAGTTGGTATATAACATAACATATGAAAAAAAATATATATATATTTTCTAAAATGTTTTTCAAATTTGTTTCTTATGCTCTAAAGTTACAATGTAATGACATGAGCAAAAATACTACTGATTAAAGTGTATATTAATAAACATTAAAACCTATTTCATCAGGTCAACAGAGTATCAAAATGGCATTTCCATTTCCCAGCCTTATTCAGATAGTTTAGGCAGATGTCAATCAACCAAGGCCCTATTTTCTAAAGGGTTTGGCAAAAGGGTGGGTGTTTGGAGCCAAAGGGGACAAGAAATACCGAATGTAGGCTATATAAGAGACTTTAATAAAAATTGTAGCACCCCCAACACTCAAATAACATTCTATAATAACGCACATAAGTTACCATTGCACAAATATTTGTACATTCGTATTCCAAAGCAACTGCATCACATCACTTAAAACTTCTAGAACTTTCTTAAAATACAAAATAATATATTATATCCAACATACTATATAAATGCATGCAGTATAAGCCAAGTGTTTCAACAAAAGACTTCATTGAGTGACGCTAAATGGTTAATGTTTTATCAAAAAAGCAGGAAGAGTTTGTGAAAATAAGCGCCTATAGTTTGTAAACTCGCATCCAAACATCTGGCAGTGATGGTAAAACTCACCTGCGCAATGAGGCGAAAGAAGTGTGCTTCCTTTAGATGTGCGAAGAAACCTGCTAAGAGAAAATGACTTGAGCTGCTCCTTCACTCCCAAATCTCCAGCGTTCAGTAACAGGACTCTCTCTGAGTTTCTGAAGCTCCTCCCTTTATTCGCTCCTTTATTCAGACCTCCGCCTTCACCAGTCATGTACACTAGCTGTCCCAAACTCATCTCTGCTAACATAATACATTTCATTATGAGAGTAAACAAACACGATTGCATTGTAGTATTCTTATCAAATCATTATTTCATGTTAATTCAAAATTATATAGGCCTAAATAAAGTTCTTTCTCAAACCTGCTTCATTATTTATGACTGCAGCTTTAATTGGAAAACAGCAATTTGACTGCAACCTTCGACCAAAACAAAGTGGCGTCGCCCTGAACAGGTTTATTTTGGTTAGTTCATTATCCCGCTTATTAAATGAATATGGCTACTCACCAAATAAATAAATAAATACGTGGTCATCATGGCACATTGATTAGAGTTAAAATGATTTACCTGAATCTTATCTTAACACTTCCGCGAAGAAAAATAGTCCATTTCAATGGGCTCTATGCACGGCGTTATTTCCGGTGAAGGATTAAGGATGCTCGATAACTTCCGCCGATCATAGAGTCCAATGCAATACCGAGAATTTATATTGAATTTTATACTCCATGGTTATACTAATGAAACGTTAGTCACAAAAACAGATAAAACAGACACCCCTCGTTGTGTTTATGCTTCTTTTTAAAATTATATTAAATAAACATAACTATATATAAAATTACATCTAAACGTATGTAGCCTACGTTTCGTTTCAAAGACGGGAGGACAGTAAATATTGAAGACTCTGCCATAATCCCGTTTTCTCCGGTTTTCCTCCGCTTTAATCTACACAACCGGAAATGGACGAGCATCCTTACGTCAAATGCGGAACTTATGCGTGCATATAGCCCATTGTAAACAAACAATCGGTTATAGCATCAAGAAGATATACATTGGAGTTATACATTTATTTGTCACTTTTGTACAACTTAAACTTTATATATATATATATATTCAATTGAAAATCTGAAGATCGAAGATCTCTGGAAAATAAATCAATCTGTTCTAGGCTACATGTGATGTGACTCTGGTGAAACAGAAGTGCTCAACCTTTAAGTGCGAGTAAAATATCTCCTAGTATTTTCCCACGAATTGGAAACCGAGAGCAGTCAAATGTCGATAGTTTTGCCTGTAATTTGGTTAAACAGGAGAAGTCGCCAGACTTTTTGGTCTTTTGATCTGAGGGCTTTGCCTGCACTATTTGCCTGAGGATCTCAGATGTTTACTTTTATAATGTGCTTTGGTTTATAACATCTGGGAATAGCCTCAGATAACCTCAGATACTATTAAATATGAGTTCCTGAAAATATTAGCCGCTTGCCTTAACTTGCTCTGCTCTTAAGAGAGGGAATATCTCTCTCTATGGGAGTACATTAACTTCTTTTGCAGGCCATCTGAAGCACTGAGAGTTCACCATCTCAGAAAATTGCAGGTGAATCTCAGGGCGCCAATCTCCAATGGCCTTATGATGGGTGCCGAGGATTTAAACTGCAACCAAGCACTCATAGATTCAAATGGGCTAATTACAATTTCGTTTGTAATTAATGAACAGTACAAGGTGTCACCTGTTGATTTTAAGATACAAGAAGCATATGAAGCATCTCTGTTATCCACTTGAGTACATTCAGTGAACTGAAGACGTTACAGAACGATCTGATAATTCTCAACTTCTCTCATTGATCCTAAACCTTCCTGGCATTAATAAGTGCGGCAGGATACAATGAACCTTTGGAAGTCATTTTTAAGGGAGGAAGAACAACGTGTGTCTGATATTGCCAAAGAGACGGCATCTGTATCCAATCTAAACCGAATCCATCTGCTAATCATAAAAATGAGAAACCTGCATTAATAGGATAGTAAAAAAGATACTGCATACTTTAAGATTATGCACAAAGGTTTCAAAATAACTTTGATCCACTTGAAAAAGCATTTGGACGGCATTTTTTGGACAAATAGAAAACTTGCAGTACTTGCTGTGTATTATGCACATACTTTTTAAATACATATCTTAAGTAGCCTACAAATTTGAATGAATTTGTAAGGTCATTATATATCTGAGGCCATATCTGCATGTGTAATGACTATATAATTACGTTTTTTTTTTTTTTTTACTTTATAATAAGTCAGGTTTTAAATAGGATAAATATTGAAACTCTTTGGTATTTTTTTTGGAGAAATGCTAATGGTCTTGTCCACTTCAATTATGTATGCTAAGCTATGCTAAAAGTGGTAACTCTGTGGGAGTTGTAAAATGAGCCTATTTCCAAAAAGTGGAGTATCCCTTTAAAGCTGCAGTCTGCAGTTTTTCCTCTTTGTCGCCATCTCTGTTTGAAATCTGCAATTTTTAGTTATTAGCTAAATTATCAACTTTACGTGTACGTTTCGCTGCGCCTCGACGCGACACAGCGCGGATGAATCCAGTGTTTTGAGGGGAGTGTGTCTGTCACCGCGCCGGTGTGGATACTGGCATACTTTTTGGAAGTATGACAAATATAAATATTATTTTCACAGGAAAATGAACAAGTAAGTAACATCCACTTTTGTTTTGGCCAACTAAGGGGAAAAAAGCATTGCAGTAAATTGCGTTGATTAAAGGGATAGTTCACTTTGAAATACATTTTTGATATGTTTTAGCTTACCTCAAGGCCATCCAAGATGTAGGTCAAACCGTTCTTGTCTATCAGTCATATAATGGAGGTCTATGGTCACCACCTCAAAGAGCATGCACAGAGAAGTCCAAATTAAACGTGATTTAATGACTCGTAAATGTGAGAACACATTGATGGCCTAAGACACAAAACGAGCGGTTTGTGTGAGAAAACGAACAGTATTTATATCGTTTTTACCTCTTGTAACCACAGCCATTTAAGTAAGGCAACACTTTTGATACTGGTTGAAACTCTCTTCACATCCTGATATTAATCAATAATAGAAGTGGTCTAAATATTTAAAAAATGTAGGCCTACATAAAATATACATATATCTTCTATGGAAGTCTCAGGACCAAAATATGTTTATCCAATCATTGCATTCGGTCCGAATTCACGCCATGTCGTAATTACAATACCTTAATTAAGATATCCCAACCTACCTGGAGCCGTTCATGTCCTCAGATCAGGAATTATGCTTTTTAATGTCCAGCACAGTCAATGCCGAAATTAATCTGTAGCAGTCAGGTGGTACTCTAAGTTGTTTATGTTCATTATTATTGTAACGTTATGTGCTTTGAGACGTGAGGTAATTTAATGCTGTCTTGATCTCGTGGTGCTTTGCTGTACATATTCATGTGTTTTAGAGGAGGTGTGGCTTTGAGACGCCCTGAAGGGAGGGTGGGATCTTATGCTTTCAAAGCTAACTTGCGTTTGTTAGTCACTCCGAAGTTGCCTACTCTACCTGAAATGGCACCTTGTTGTAAAGTGTTATGACTAATTAGTTTTAGGGAAAGTATAGCCATGGTTATATCATATCTAGCCTACAAAAAGATTTTGATTCACTGATTTAGTTGAGCTGAATTGACAGATTTGTGTTCTTCTGGTGATTTGACCCAAAGCTTTTTGCTTGTGATGACTCAGGTCTTGATGACTGATGTTATATCTGCCAGTTTGCCATCTGTCTGGTAATAGAGGATACAGTGCCTCCCAACTTTATTCCCTTGACCTCCCTGTACTTCCTTTTCTAAACAATACTAAACCAAAATGTCCAAATCCAGATGTAAACCAATTGTTCTCCTTTGTCTTTTTCACTGATATTCTAGTTGTGACGATTACACGGTTTCACTTGAGGCCTGCTGTGAGGTTTGTGTGCTTTTGTCTCCCCCTGGTGTTGACAGAATGTCAGTTCAGTTTACTGTAATATAAATGCAGAGCGCCATCTGCAGGTCAACATCTAAAACTGCTTCTAGCTGGTGATTTAACATGCAGAACCTGTGGCATTGACATTAAAGCGTGTTTTAATCAAATGTTTGATCTTTTAATGAAAGACTCCAACTTCCTAATTCACTCAATAGGCTTTTATTAAAAATTTAACAATTTTCTGTTTGTAAACTACAAACAGGTCATAAAATAATCATGCTCTTCATCCGAGGGTAAACAGTAGCCGTATTGGTTTCAATCAACACTAAATACAAATCAAATATTTACACAGTTGATATGATATGATATGAATATGAGGTTGTTCTATTATCGAATCCCTCTCTACGGGCTGTGCTCACACGTTTTAATCGCAGCAAATCACAATTTAATATCGCGTGCAAGCCACAGCTGGCTGACAAAATAAATGAATAATTTACCATAAAATAATGTTCAACGTGATTAAAATTCAAACAAACAACATGAGCTTTGCAGCAAGACGCCCCTTTATCCTTTGCGACCTCTTTTGGGCTACTGTCCGGCGTTGAAAAGCTTCTTTCTGCCCTCCATGCCTGACATGGCCTCCACGTTTTTCCTCCAGTCCGTGACCTCCTCCTTCTGATGTGAGACAGACAGAGATGAGAGCACAGGCACGGCGGACCGTGGCAACACGCGTCAGACAGACAGACGGGGCGGTTGAAATGCCAACATTTCATCACCTCGAGGCTTTTAAAGAAATGACTTGATTTCTAAAATAACCCGCCTCTTTAGACACAGCACATCTGAGCAAATGATGAAGCTGGAGTGTTACCTTTTCTTCTTCTTTTTTAACTGTTTTGAGGTTTGCTTTGAAGTCAGATTTCATGGCTCTGGAGTCCGTCAGCGCTCCCAGCATGGCGTCTGCCGACTTCTTCACCCTTTTTAGGTTCGGCCGCTTCGTTTTCCCCTTCAGTTCATAGATCTTCTGGGTTAATGAGAGAATCTGGCAACAAACAAATACATCAGGTTTTTCTTAATAAGTGGTTGTAGCAAAATTACTTAAATATTTTACAAAAGAATCCCTTTGCAATCAATAATTTTATCCCTTCTTGATAATCAAAACGACATATTTTAAAGTGTTTTCCTGTTCATGCTTTAATATAGCTTGAATGTAACTCTACACCCTTGCTTCATTTAGTAAACGCAATGAATATGGAAATTGGTCCCCGCCTCAACTCACTCGCACCAGCTCGGACTACCTGATGATCCACTCGGCCAACTGTAGTAAATGTTACATAATGGATCATGTGAGTTTGAAGACTGGAGCAAAGATTTGCATCACTGGAATAAATTACATTTAAATTTTTTTTTAAACCATTCAATATTACTGTTTTTTACTGCATTTTTGATCATATTAATACAGCCATAAATCATACCGATCCCAAACATACAGTATGCACGTTCTCCATTCACATACCTCTGCATCATTTCTGGCAACTTTTATGTTAAGGTCATATCGCACTTCATCCACGACGTCAATCTTCTGGTGCAAATCTCTACAAAGCTCCTGCAAAGACAAATGATGATTCATAAACTCAAATGGCTAATGTAAACACCATGAACACCATTGTTGAGAGATATTTGGGACACAGTCATCTGGCCGCAGTAAAAGCTCTCAATGTAAATATCTGACATAGTTAAGTTTTGCACCTGTAGTTCTTGGATGGACAGGCCGGAGAGTTTGAGGGGCGGCGCTTTCTCCCTCAGGGTGTTTTCTCTCTCCAAATCTTTCTGCTCTTTTTCTTTCACAAGCAAACTTTCTGCCTTTCTCAGCAGTTTACTCTGAAGATGAGAGAGGTGTCATGCTAGTACAAAATACATAAGTCCTCATTGGTGCTGTTCATTTCACACATGCTCTTGGTGTATTATGATGGCACAAAAACACACATAAAACCAGATACCACAAAAAATGCCCATCTAGTGCAGGACGAACACGAGCGCATGCACGCACACACACACACAGTATTTAAAAATGCAAAAATCCGGGTTATAGTACAGCATTAATAATACAATTTAATTGGGCCAATCCATAAACATTTAAATACTGGTTCAACAATATTTAACTGTGTTAACATGAATTTAGCATACGATCTTCAATTCTATCAGTGATGTAGTCGAGACCACCTCACTCGAGTCCGAGTCGACACCGAGACCAGAGAGAGTCGAGTCCGAGTCAAGACCGAGTCCATAGAGAGTCGAGTCCGAGACCAGAGACGGTCGAGTCCGAGTCGAGACCGAGACCAGTGAGGGTTGATTACCTAATTTACTTTTATTTACTTAGAGAAATCCTTTTTTTTTTTTTTTTTTTTTTTTTACTGAATTTACTTAGAGTTTTAAAAATATGATCAGTTTAGGGTAAAAAGGCCACATAGTAGGTGGTGTTAAAAGTAATTTTATTACAATTTGTCATGCGCAGTTGCGCACTAGAAAATCACCAATCACTGGGCGTGTCAATCAATTTAAAAAAAATATTTTATTAACATACATTAATAATCATGATAAATATTTTTAATTGAACTCGAGTGGACTCATGAATAATTCCGAGTCCTAAAAAAAAAAAAATGTTCGAGTACGAGTCAATTCCGAGTCCAAATGGACACGAGTCCATGACAAGACCAAGACCATTAAAATATGGTCTCGAGACCGAGTCCGAGACGAGTCCGAGTCTCGAGTACTACAACACTGAATTCTATAACAATGAAATATTATAAACTGATTGCATTATAATTGTAATGTTTATTATTATATGTATAATTATGATTTAAACAGTTTTGTAGAAGAATGAAAGTGCTTTTATAAAAGCCTTACATTGTTTTTTACATTTTCAAAAAATCTGGTGCCATTCACTTCCATATATACAATTATATACATATAATAAAACAAATAAAACACACACTCACACACAAACATATAAACATACACACTGTACACACACACACATAATAATATAACTCAAATATACACATATAATTAATTATACAAACATTATGTGTATGAAATATCATAATCCAAAAAATGACTGTACAAACAAGGATTTAAAGAGATTTACTGAAGAATTCAAATTAATTAAAATTTACAAAATTGTACGCTTTACATTGCTGCTTTTAGACGCATATAGTTTAAAAAATCATCTCTATGGAATGTCCCCATAAAACATGGAAACTCAACGTCTCTCTCTCTGTGTGTGTGTGTCATCATACTTGAAATGTTTTCTGACCCACCTTTAGCAGAAGTCTGCGTGTTGCCGAGTATTTGGATTTGGCCTTTTTCTGCAAGAACAAGAAGAGTTAAGCCGAGCTCTTTATAGTCTGCAGTCCTGTTAAGACAATCCTGTGTGTGTGTCTGTAATCTACACACACTGTGGTGCATGAATTAACTGTCTGACCCGATTACTGTCTGAACTGACGGCTCAGTGGTACCGTATAGCTTTAAGCAGACCAGAGCAAACCTACAGTACAGATTAGTTTTTAACATGCTGTTCAGCGTCCTTACAGAATCACTGAGCGACTAAACCATTTAGAGTTGGATTAGGATCATTGATTCCAACATTCACTGGACTTTAATATATCGAGACACCACCCCCCGTGCACTGCTGCTTTAACCAGTTAATCATCATTAAAACTATTCAAAGAGAAACAATCGGGAACAAAACTATAACAAATGTGATGGTAATTCACTTACCGGTCTGTGGAGATATAATTGCATGTAAAAAACAAAACAAAAACACAAATATTATATAATGTTATATACTTATTATACACTTACAGTTCATTACCTGGTGTAAATAAGCAATTTTGGATGAGTATGACATTGACAGGGTCAATAGCCTAATAAAGATAACACTTACCCCTCAGACATGTCTGAAATACACTATGTGACCTGAAAGAGAGCCAAAATAATTGTGGTCACTATCCAGCACTTCACCATTCATATCTAAACACGTCAGGCATCACTAGTCAAATGCCAAACAACTGTGACGGATTATGAGTGACGCCAGAGTAAAAAAAAAAGCGTGTTTAAATGCATTAAATCAAACCCGCTGTCCTTTGACATCAAAAGCTCCAGATCCACCAAAGCAATTCCAATATGCAGACGGTTACCGGACATTGGCTTTCGCTTTAATATCACTGTGACATAAACACGGAAGAACCGTGACCTTTATTCCCCCAATATAACAAACCATCTCTCTGTGCACATCAGCGATTTTCTCAGCATTTTCAAAGATACATTCATTACAGCTTGTGCTTCGAAGAGATCGGGGTCCTGACATTTTGGCCCCTTGGAGAAAGCAGCGACCTCGACTGTCTCATTGAACGCAGCGGATATGGCTCTGAACCACGGTTAATGGGGTTCCTCTGGGAAAATGGTCTTGAGGGATGAAATTTAGAGGCGTGTGGATAGGAAGCGCGGGCAAAACACTCTTGAGTGTGAATTCAACACAGTGATGGGAGATATTAATGACGCAGTGTCTGAAAACTGTCATTTAGGGGCTGTTTACACCTGGCCACTTCCGAAACGCATTCGAGATAGCCTGGGAAAACCCAGACAACTTCCGGCTAATTTAGATTTGCTCTGAAAGTTAGTCTGGCACAGAGCTCATTCAAGCCCATTTCCAATCCGTCGAAATCGCGGCACCGATCAGAAACGTTGGGACGGGCTTTACACGATGATGACAGCGCTGGGATTTTGAAGCAGATTTTGTAGCCTATATTACAAAGATGGACGCCGCCGTCGAACATCGCTCCTTTAAATCTGTTTTAAGAGATTTGAACGTTTCCTTTTTGTTAAAAGCCGAGCAAAGAACAACACTCGCTCTGCATACGTCATCTCCCAGACAGCAAACTGACATTGAATCAACGTGGAAACGACGTCTCTCATGACATTGAAACAACGTTGATTTTGCTCATCGAATTAACGCTGAACCAACGTCAGACGCGGCATTCTTCAAAGCTAAATGAAAATCGAAAATTGGTTTGCTTTCATAACGTTGAAACAACGCGTTGATTTCAAGTTGATTTTCCGTTAGTTTTGAAAGAATGACGTGTCTGACGTTGGTTCAACGTTAATTCGATGAGCAAAACAATGTCAGATCAACGTTGTTTCAATGTCATATTTCCACGTTGATTCAATGTCAGTTTGCTATCTGGGCTCCTTCATCACTCTGATTGGTTTTAGAGCTACCCGCGACGTCCGTTGGTGACGCCCCCTCTGGAAATGATTTGTCTATGAGGTGTAAATGGCATCGTTTTGATAAATCAGATAGCTATCCGATCTGAGAAAACGCATGAAGTGGCCAGGTGTAAACGTCACACACTCACATGGGATCCAACAACAAAGAGGGATCCAGCAACAGTTTGTAGAGAAAACTGATATAACCTGTAGGGAATAATATCACATATTGGTTGTAAATGACAAACGCTCAACAGCCTGTTGGCATCTACTCTGTTTTGGCTTTGGTCCTGCTAATGTTAATGTCCTTGACATAACTGGGATGACTTTGGTAAGAGGCAATCGAGTCAATGACCTTCATGTTTGACATTCTTGAGGAATGCTGCCATCCGAACCCTGGTGCGCACCAAACAAGCTCAGTCCACTTTCAAATGAACTCGAAACACGGACCAAAGACATGAACGAACAAAAACGAACCAAAACAGGACATGATGTCACAAGATTCAACCTTAAAAAGGACAGAATTGCTCAAGCATATCTGTTTTTTCCTCATAGTCGTGACTTTGCCCAGTACAAGCGTCAGAACCGCATCTCCTCGATCTTTGTTTATGTGTGTGACGGAGGGATTTCTGCCACTGTTTTGACTCCTTTACACATTTTAGAAGTATGTCAAAATATGAATTTTTATAAAGACCCCATTGTTAATTAGTTTATGATGGTCTAAAGTTTGAACATAGGATGATACATAAGCCTGTATCCAATATACTGACTGTCAACTGTATATCCAGAGATGTATAGTAACGAACTACTTAAGTACCAAAATGCTGTATCTGTACTCTACTAGAGCATTGTTTTTTCCCTCATACTTCTACTTTTACTTCAGTAGATATTTTCGATGAATTTAATACTTTTACTTCGATATTTTTTTTAATGTTCTGCTAGTTACTCGTTACAATTATAAAAATTGTACAAATCATTCGTTGCAAGTCGGCTTTCATGCTGCCTAAATCGCACGCCAGTTTTATAGGGTAATGGTATTGATTGACACACACATTGACAACTAATGCAGGGGTTGTCCTGCAATGACATTTTTTTTTGGTGGCCGCCAAAGCAAATGTTTATCCCGCCAAATCGCCTTATTTGATTGCTAGTTCAAACTTTTGACTGCTTTCTTTAATAATTACATGACACAATACTTGTACTTTTATTTTTAGTACTTAAGTAGTGAATTTTAAAATAAACTACTTGCAATACTTAAGTACAAAAAATGTTGTTTAGTACTTCTCACTTAAAGAGCAGTTCAACTTCTGCTCAAGTCACTTTTTTGATTGAGCACTTGTACTTTTACTCAAGTTCGGATTTCTAGTACTTTATACATCTCTGTGTATATCAAACGATCCAACTAAGTCTATCCAGAATGTCATTTCAGTGATGTTTCAGACACCCTGTCTTTCACATCACGATATCCCTATTAGACTGGATGTGTCATTAATCATGCTGAAAAACATGCAAAAAAAAAAAAAAAACTCAAGCAAAGAAAGTGAACGCTACCATTTGCTCAAATCAAAAGACTCTCCAACCACTCTTTGCTCTCTAACTTAAAAGACCTCTGAAGTGGACCTTTGATTTCTATGGCAGACTGTTAGACATGATAAAAAAGCATTGAAACAAGGCTCTTACCTTTGAAGAGGAGTGTGAACAGAGGAGTGATGTACAAGGGAGACGGCGTAGTGTGGTTTTCAATGATTGATTCATGCCTCTCAAATGTGAATGGCCAACCAAAATAACTCACCACAGCGCCTCCCATGAATGCCACCTTTTGGCACACCATTGTTCTGGAATTACTCAAACACACAATTAACGCTCATTATCACATGCATGCACAGAAAATGTCATAGGTTTTTATAAAAGACAAGTTCCCATTTATTATAATTCACATATTCAGGTGATTAAGATTCCCACAGCCACTGTAAAGACAACAAAGACTCTGTGTGTCCTATGGTCAGGTGCTGCAGATATAAATGCACATAATTGTTAAATTGAGCATTTTATGGTGCAGTCTGATTCTATAATTCACCAATGCTCACCAATGGGAGTCCTATTCAGTCGAGCGTGGCATTAATTACAGGTGAATATCACCTCGAGACTGCTGGGAAGAACATGAAAATGGATCATAGCCTTTAAGTCATAAAAACAGGGGGAAAGAGGCATGGCGAGAACATTTATCTCCTGTAGCAAGTTGAGAGGGCAACTTTTGGTCTAAAAGCATGAGATCACTAAACGCATGACCCCATAATGCATTCAAAAAGGGTTTTATGGTTCAGCGACGGACTATGTGCCGAGTCGGTTTCACCTTAAGAGCCTCCGAATCCGGGACGTGGAAGGACACACACCTTTGGTGGAATCTGGAGTATGAAAGCGGCAGCTGTCGACAGGCACTGAAAGATGGAGTGAACACAACCGTCCCATGACGCATCGCTCATGCGCTCTTGTCTCCGGTGTATTGAATACATGTGCACTGCAGCACGCGCCTCTGATGACGTTTATTTTTAGGGCTGGTTTTCACTCATTGCTATCACACTCTTCAATGTCATCTCTGATAACACGACCCTGGCCTTTAAACTCTTGAGGATAATGCAGGTTAAAGAGCTAAGCTTGTAACGGAAAGATTGAGGTTTAAGCAATGCAAGAACTGTGTTACAAATTAGGAAAAAACAAATGATCAAGATAGAACAGTTTAAACATTAGTTTGAAAGTTATGGGCGTACCCTAGATGGGAACACTCTACTTGAAAGGGGTGTTAATAAGACTGACATATCATAAATGTGAAGGAGGATGTTTATGACAACTGTCATTAAGTGTCATTCGCTCAATTATGACATTTTTAATGCAAATATGACATTGTTTGAGATGTCTTTATGACATCTTGACATAAACCAATACATCATAACATGTCAGTGTCTTTGTCATGACGACTTGGCATTACTAAGACAACACAACCTGTCATAAACATGACATAGCAGATTCATTATCAAACTTAAGAAACCACTTAGCTTTATGGGTTAACATTACATTAAACTTTGGTTGGTTTTGACATTGGCCGTCATGAAGCCATTATAACTGTGTCATGAATATGTTTCGTGACCTCAGCTACAGTGGTACTAATTGAATTTGTCATTAAATTGTTATAATTGCTTCATGACGGACAATGTCAAAACCAACCATCTGACAGTTTAATGTAATGTTAACCAATAAAGCTAAGTGGTTTCTTAAACATGACATAGCAGATTAATTATCAAACTTATGACATATTTCTGACAGGTTGTGTTGTCTTAGTAATGTCCAGTTGTCATAACAAAGACATCTCACACAATGTCACATTTGCATTAAAAATGTCATAATTGAGCGTATGACACTTAATGACAGTTGTCATAAACATGCATAAGACCTCCTTCATATTCATAACATATGTTATGTCATGGTTATGAGTGTCATGCAAGTCTCCTTAAAGTAAAGTGTTATCTCTTACCAAACACAGCATTTTCAACAGTAATATCAATAAATATCCCAAAATATTTTTTAAAAGAGCTAAAATTCCCAAAAATGAGACGACTGTTGACATACAGTCAGAATATAGAGTTGTAAATGAATTCTAGATAGCATACCTCAGATCTTTGGAAATTATAGAGTTGATATTAAAGTCTTTGGCTTTCGATTCCAGACAAACGAGTACACTCTGAAACAAAGAAATAACTGCAATCTTTCTTAGAAAAGCAGAAAAATCAGAGGTCTTCATTTCATCTCCATCTCATTGCTGTCAATGATGTTTTTTTTTGTTCCTATGGGAATTTTACAAAGCTGAGATCGGTTTAATTTATCAGCTCTTATATGCATTTTCTTGGAAGCCACAGAGTTTCTATATTCATGTACGATCCGAGAAAACCTCAGCAGTGAACGAATCTGCAGCAGAAATTATATAATGCTCTAGGAAATGTTATTACGGAGAATTAAAGTGATTTCTTACTCTTGGTTTGTGTACTAATGTCAATACAGGCCCACTGTGGGATTGCCCCCCTCATTATGATAATTTTGTGTGCAGCTTCTTAACCAACAGCATAATAACCCATCCAAACTATCGTCAATGCATGAAATAATTCCCTTTTTAAGTGACTCCAAAATAAGGGCTCTTTCTCTGCCAAGCAAATTTCACAAATAATGTTCTACTTGAATGTTCTGGAATTGTTATGGCCCTTTTTTTTTACCCCCACAAACACATTATCAGACATGAACCTAAAATAATCAGTTGCTCATTCTGGCTGCTGCTAATTTGCCTGCTTAATGATGTAAATTAACACCCACGAAACACACACACACATTCACACAGACTCTAGGTTCTGAGGCATGTGGTTCCTGTTTTAATTACATTGGATTTGCATAACGATTTCCCATTATGCGATTCCCCAGTGACCCTACGCAGATAGGGGAAATTGCTCTCAAATGCCCACCCCATTAACAAGAGTCTGACGTCACTCCCTGTCCATCACTGCCGGCGACGCCGAAACCACTTGCTGAAAACAGGCCTACAGAGAGTGACGGAGTGGCTCATGGGTAATGAAGTCGCTAATCACTTGGAAGTGAGCTGGTTTAGACGTGGACGGGGAGTGTTTTCATGCTCGTCGGTATAATGGAAGATGTTAGTGGGGGTCTTGACAACTCCACTTCTCATGCGTGTGCCATTACAAATCACTGCAAGACTGTAAATCGTAGCAAAACAGTTTATTAGCAGCACAGTACCGGTACATTTATTTATTTGAATGCATTAATGAGAGAGAGAGATTGCGTGTGTGAATTAGTCCCATTTGTTTGTGCAGATCTCTTTATTAATATACAAGCTGTGGGTTGCAATTACTTCAAAAGCAGAAAGAAATGAAGTTTCCGTTTATTTGTAGGAAGTTTTGCAATTTTGCAATCTAATAAATAAGCTTATTACCTCAAAATTATACACACAGTAGGCCTATAAGTTAAAGCAAAGTGCAAGAAATAGCACAAATATATCAGGCTCCAGGTTTGTAGGTGTTCATGTACAGAAATAGAATAATCAAATAACATTGCATTTATTAAATACATGTCATTTTACAAGCTTCAAAAGTTATTCAGTCAAGAGCAGTTTTGAAAGGAGTAGTTCACTTTTAAAAAAACTTTTGCTGATAATTTACTCACCCCCATGTCATCCAAGATGTCCACGTCTTTCTTTCTTCAGTCGAAAAGAAATTAAGGTTTTTGATGAAAACATTCCAGCATTTTTCTCCATATAATGGACTTCAATGGGGACCAAACGGTTCAAGGTCCAAATGAGAGTTTCAGTGCAGCTTCAATGGGCTTTAAACGACACCAGACGATGAATAAGGGTCTTATCAAGCGAAACGATCAGCCATTTAAAAAATGAATAAAAGTTTTATAAGCACAAATGCTCGCCTTGCTCTGTTCTGTTATCAGCGTTCGTGACTCTCCGGTTCAAACTCGTTCATCAAAATGAACAAATCTTTTTCCGAGTCATGACTCGAAGGATCCTAGATAAGACCCTTATTCATCGTCTGGAATCGTTTAAAGCCCTTTGAAGCTGCACTGAAACTCTCATTTGGACCTTGAACCGTTTGGTTCCCATTGAAGTCCATTATATGGAGAAAATCCGGAAACGTTTTCATCAAAAACCTTCATTTCTTTTCGACTGAAGAAAGAAAGACATGGACATCTTGGATGACATGAGGGTGAGTAAATTATCAACAGATTTGTCTGAGATTTATAAAATTAAAATAAAGGAAACTTTGCTGGTGGATATACAATATTTAAGTAAACATATGGGATATTGCAGTATTTATTAGAAATTATTTATCCGTGCACATCATACATGAATGTGCCCTTTATTAAACTAAAGGTGCATTCCTGCCATGTAAGTATTACCGTAATTACGAGATACTTATAAAAAGCATTCACAACTATTAATTACAACTGGTAAACTCAGAATTTTCCCGAGAGAGCTCCGACTTGTACCACGTGACCGACGCGACCTCATACATAAGTGGTCTTTGATGTTTTGTTCTACAAAGTAATCTGAACACTCACACCCCAAGCTGACTTATCTTATTACTTATTAAACACATCTGTTAACATCAAACATGAACATAATTGCTTGAAACTGTGCGTTTGGGTCTGAGTCATTTACGTTTCAGAACAAAACATTAAGAGTATAGTCAAGTTATGCTTACCACATGCTTTATTTTACACATAAATTGAAAAACTCATTATATAGGAAACCCTTGAGGGAACCTACAGCTCTGTTTTGGTGTTGATATTGCCATATAAACGCATAATTAGGAGGACATGAACAGCTGCATGTAGAATGTAATGAGATGTAATTGTGTGCAGCATAACTTTCCCTTCCTCTGATGATGCGTTTACAGGTGCGAGGGCGGGACAACCTGTCAATCACATGAGATGACCAATAGCAAACCACTGAAGAGGTGCTACCCAGCGGTATCAATTAGAGTATCGGTTAGCGAGATGCACTTTATTGCATTATGCTTGACTGATCAGAGCGTCGTTCTCTCTGCATGGTGTTAGCCTGTGGGACACTCGCTCTGTTTCTGTCTTCACCCCAGCTCTCAGGGGGGAGTCGACTGTTTAACACGGATGAGAGCACCCGTTCCCGGGGCAGAGAGAACATGTTTTCCTTGATAGGAGACAGAAGCGAGGAACTTGTTGCTGTGTTTTGACATGCTTTTTTTTTTAAACTCATATTCGTGAGGTGTTTATCTGAACCGGGGCATTTTCAAACAATCTTACATCCTATCACGAGGAGCATCCGGGGTTGTGTTTCCCCCACCGTAGAATCAGGAACAGCCTTTATCTGACCTCAAACAACCCCAGTGTGATAGGACCAAACAAACATCAAACACACACATATACACACTGGGCCCGGCTATCAAATATTTAGTTCGCGCTGCACTTGATCATTATGCTAATGGGATTTGAGCTATTGAGAGAAACATCTGCCCTCAATCCACTGCTCCTGTGGATAGTGGCTTTGAGTAAAATGTGGATCAGATGAAAGAAAATCCACTTTTCCCTTATGATACCTGCAAGTGCACATGAAAATTTTCCCCGCTGCTTTTTATTATCAGTGGGAGTAGTAAACCTGAAGTACTGAAAGATGATTGACAGGAGGTGACCTGATTTCTGAAATGTTGACTATGGTAAAGTTAAGTACTCAAAGACAATTATCAATGCACACATCGCAAAACCCTTATGTTTGTTTACAGATAATAATGTTGCACATTCAAAACGTGTGCGAGATCTGACCTGTGGCAGCATTTCTGCACATATTGCTTCTTGCATAGTTCGCGGCACTTTTAATGTCAACTGTACTTTCAGTTGTATCCAAAACAGATGAACGTGAATCTATAAACATGTTATTACGTTGGTTGTTGTTTGTATCGCAGTGATTGTTGTTTTTTTCGCAACCACACGAGAGATCACTTCCGGAGACCGAAGTGCCCGTGCCTTCAGATCACTTGGACGTGGCTGTGGTTACAAGAGGTAAAAACTGTATAAACTCTGTTCGATTTCTCACACAAACCGCTCGTTTCATGTCTTAGGCCATCAATGTGTACTTACATTTACGAGTCATTAAATCATGTTTAATTTGGACTTCTCTGTGCATGCTTTTTGAGGTGGTGACCATAGACCTGCATTATATGACTGTCAGACAAGAACGGTTTGACCTAAAAATATCAAAATTGAAACTACTGTGGAAACAAAGACACGTATACTCTTATAAGAAAAGGTTCTATACACTCTTAAAAAAAGGGTTCCTCTGGGTTCTATATAGAACCCTGGGGTTCCATACTTGGCCAATAGAACCTTTTACAAAAAAAAATGGTTCTATATAGAACCATTTTGGAGTTCCATATATGAAGCGGGGGATGGAACCATTTCTGGTTCTAAACAGAACCATTTCTTCTAAGAGTGTACATCTTGGATGCCATTGAGGTAAGCTAAAACATATCAAAAATTAATTTCAATGTGAACTATCCCTTTAAGCTTCCCAAACAATAACCCCTATACTACAGTCCACCACTAGGGGTCAGAGATTGACGCATTTGCACAAAAGTGCACTGAGGAGAACAATGTCTATAATAATTCCAACACAACAGAATCATGTTCCCATTTATATCTCAAACCCAAGCCCTTCACTAGCAGCCATCCAGAGCTGTGACATCAAATATAGGTTGCCTACTATAGCAGAAAGAAAATTGTGATTTTGTGATTTACGTCTAATTGGCAAATATTTCATATTGTAATAATACTTTATGAATGTGGAGAAAAAAGATGAGATTTCGGCATTTACCCGAATGTGCTCAACAGCACACCACACTGGTGGAAAATAACAGTTTTCAGTGATTAGCAATGAAAAGAAAAACGTCTCTGTATGTAACCAAGATTGAGCTTTGCAACTGTACAGTGGTATAAAGCCATATTCCTCAATAATGCTGATATACAAAACTATATAGTAAAACAGAGGGAATTGGGCAGAACAAGAAGGCATTCATTCAAGCAAACAGCTGAAAGCAGTTGAAACAGTGCAATAATTAATTGCTTGCAGATTGTTACATCAGTTCATTTGAGATTTTTTGGAACCATTGAACACTGTGGTCATGTGGTCTGGTCTACTAACTTGTATTTCCATGGCAACTGAACGCACCATCGCCCTGTTGTGTCTGATGACTGGCTTCAGCGGGAGATCCTTGTTCCTCCTGTTCCCGGCACAATCACATATGTTGTAGTTTAGAACATGTACTGCATACACACTTTTTAATGCAAACTTTAGCGTTTAAATGCATTGCAACTAATTTTCTTTTTCTTGTTTTTCATTCAAAGGATTTTTTTTGCATTACCTTTTGATTGAACCTATATCCTTGTGAACATTGCCAATCAAAGAGACATCTCTGGAGTTTTCATTTGAGTGCGTCAGGGTGACTTTAGGTGCTGATTGACCCTTAAACCAGAGGCCATACGGGTCTAGTCTGGTGCTGTGTTCCGTCATAGGGACTGATGGAGCATGAGACGGCCAAGAAACGCTCCACTGAGCCGCAGATTCCTCAGACGGACAAGGTCACCAAAGAGCAGACGCTCGACAGACGAACCACCACCATGCCTATGATCTCCAGAGCCTACGTCAGCATTACTTCTCACACCAGGAGGCCAGAAAATGAAGACTTAATTCCCTGTTTAGGCACCACGCTGGAATAATCAGAGATGAACATTTTAAACTGTTATTAGAAACTACAAAATGACAGAAAATAAGAACATCTTAGGAAGGTTCTATATTTCTAAAACGTATGCAGCTAGAATGTACTATTTCCAAATTTGGACCATGCACTACTTTTTATAATGTACTCGTGCTAGACTATATTATGGACTGCTATTTACACATTATTTAAGCACTACAACTTGAGTGTGTACTACAATAACATATGCATATAACTAGTACTTTAAATTCTACTTAACGCGTGACAATTAGCTTGTACTGCTTTTGGTATTGGTGCATAGGAACATTGAGCCCGTTCTCATCCCAAAGCGCCATATAGGACGCTTTTGCAAAAGCGTAAATATCCAACGCACATGGCACCCTTTAACGTCAAATGAGACGCAGATATATTTGGGCAGAAGGCGCCCCCTAGTGGTCTAACCCTTACCCTACACCATACCTAAACTTAACCATAACCAAAGCGTCTCATTCGACGTTAAAGGGGGCCATGTGCGTTGGATATTTACGCTTTTGCAAAAGCGTTGTATATGGCGCTTTGGGATGAGAATGCGTTGGAACATTTTAGGGAGGTTTTGTATTTCTTAAAGGGATAGTTTACCCAAAGTTGTTCCAAACCTGTAAAAGTTTTTTTGTTTTGTTGAACACAAACGAAAATTTTTTAGAGAATGTTAGTAACCTGACAGTTGACGGTAACTACTGACTTCCATATTTGGGAAAAAAATACTATGGAAGTTAACGGGTGAGATGTGACTTGGGAAAGGGTAAAAAAAATACACACCGTCGCCCAGCTTCTCGGGAACCTAGTGTCGGAGTTGCATGTACCCCATGCACACCGTTTGACCATATTAAACGTAAAATGGTAAGAAAAAAACGATTGAAAACTGATTAATTGCAAAGCATTTCAATGGACGTGGAAGCAGAGAATGTCCGAGTGTATTGGGTTAGCTGCGCACTGTGATTGGCTTGTCGCGTTTGAGGGCGTGGCTTAGCCATAGGTCAATTAGCTTAAGACCCAGAACAAAATTACTTTCTGCACTGATCATGATGATTAGAAAGCCTCTCATCATAAACTGCATAGACTGCATATAGACCTAATCTCACAACAAACCCACAAAAGAATTCAAGCATTACAATGAAAACAGACTCCACAAAGTCATTTGCTTACAGAACATAAATAGTGGAACCCCTCGCTGTTGTTTTTCTTCTTCTTCAAGTCGCTGGTCCTAATAGTGGGAAGGAGGCAGACGTCAGTCATGAAGACGGCTGATAATTATCAGGGTTCTCCGCCGGAAAGCCTGATCGGGCTGCGTTCTCCTGGGCTTCAGGTGGGCTGTGAGTCTCCTCATTTGTCTGCTTCAACCTGTCAGAAGAGAAGCTCCAAACACTGTGTTATTACAGCAAAGAAAGTTCCATGTTCACAAAACTCATGGGACAAATTCTGACATTTCCTATTTCACAGTACAGAATGCCCCTGAAAGGCATGGAGGATACTAAAATTAGTCTTATGGCAACAGTTCACAATAAGGTTCAATTTGTTAACATGCATTAATACGGTAGACTTATTGGCTGCGACTCGACGACAAATGCTGTAAAGACACTTCTCCGCTCCTCAAATACATTAACGATACAAGTCACAAGCTCTTTTTAAATACTTTTCATTGGTTAGATATTTGCAAAAACCACAGATAGACATGAAGGGTGACTAATCGTAATTATTTATGAAAAAAGACTATAAATACTTATTAAAAATAGGTGCATTTGTTCAGGGAATATGATTACACTGGTATGTTGTTAATTCTCTAAAAAGAATAGCAAAATTTCTATGGACATGAAAATGCTGTAATATGATTTCACACTCTGTAGAATCTTTTGGAAAAAAAATAATACAACATAACAATCCAAAATGTAAAAAATATATGCAATCTACTCCACTTTAATACAGATTAAAAGATTTATCAATCTTCTATTGGTTGCATATGGAAGCCTATTGCGGAAAAAATTTGAGGGAAAAAAAAATTCATGAAAAAAAAAGAAAATTTTTCATGAAAAAAAAGTTTTTGCTCTGTTTTTCTGAATTAACGACTTAATTATCTCAAAATTATGAGTATCTCATTAATTCATAAATGAAAAAAGTTTTTCAAGAAAAAAAAAATCTCATAATTAACTCGTTAATTCAGAAAAACAGAGCAAAAACTTTTTTTCATGAAAAAATATCTCGTAATTATGAGATAATTAACTCGTTAATTCAGAAAAACACAGTAGATTTTTTTCCTCAAGTGAAATACACTTCCGTAGTTGGACGTCTTTATGTTATACGAATTCACAGTTCTCCAAAACTTTAACATTGGAACGCAGCGAATGAGCTTACGTTTCCCGTTTCGCGCATTACAGTAGCAAAGAATGCTTATGAATGGAAGTCATGGGAAAAAAGTGTAGTTTTTAATGATTCTGGAGTTGAATTGGTTTAGCTGTTTGTTTCGATTTACTAAAAAGAAGCGACTTAGAATAATTAGTTGGGAGTCCGTCTACACTGATTGTGCTTTAATAAAAATAGTAGCATTTGTCAACCGCTCTTATTTTCGCGCTGTTGGTGTTGGTGATTATATTGCAGGAAAGCTTGTATTTTAGTACCAGCGCATGTGCAAGAACCATTAACACACCCGAATATCATTCAGAAATTAAATGAACCAATGATTATTCAGTTCTTGGTTTAGGCTGTAAAACTAATACATTTAGCTCATAAACCTCAAACATTCTCTGATCTGTATTGCTCAAAGGCAATTTTATTTCAGCCAATATTTTGTCCATAAAGCTGAGCAGTGCCGTTTCCGTGTTTGCGGCTCCCTCTGGCACAGATACGTCTTATAGAGCATTTTCTTTTATCACCCAGCACTTATTTCACCATGGAGTAATACACCTCATGGGAGCAAGTGTGACGTAGTGACACTTACAAGCAATTCCAATAAAGTCAGGGCCCTGAACCGGGACAGTTTTTCACCCATAATGACTGCCTTGGCTCCACAGCCGGGGCCACGGTGCCAAAGGAAATGTGTCTTAGAAGAAGACGACTTAACTTTTTTTTTATCATGCCACTGTATATCTTTAGCTGTCACCTTTATCTTCTGCTCCTTGTCTCTCTCTGAAAGAGCTACGCTTGAGGTGGGGTGTGTAGAGCAACACAAATCTGGAGCCGGGACGCGATGTGCCGCTTCGCTTTCTGTTCTTCATTAAGCTAAGTGCAATGTTGTGTTAACCTCAGTATTACCTCCCTCTTATTGTTCAGGACTGAAAACTGTTTTTGCACCCAACAGCTAAAAATAGTCCTTAAACGGATTGAGCAAAAACAAAACAAAAAATAATAGAGAAGGATGGCGCTTCAAGCAGGAGGCATCTTGGGACTTGGCTCTTCTTTGACGCAATGCAATTGAATTTCAGATCGGCATCAAAGGCGTTTGGAACGAGCGTCGTTCTCTCTGAACATTCGAGTTGACAGCTTCATGAAGCATTGTAATAAACTGTATGCGCTGCAGTGGAACTTTTTATGAGATATGAGGCGATGATGAATTTGACTGCTATCTATTTTGGTTCTCTAGACACCCCCGATTGAAAGAGACAGGATTCATCAAAGGATAAATAGGACCATTTTTTGAACCGTGGTCTTCTGGGTTGTGCCTTTTGCTGTTTTTTCCAGTGATAATCATGTCTAATAATGGGTCGCAAACACAGATGCTATCAGTAGTACAAACAAGAATGTCCTTGGAGTTATTCTCATTTAAATGATACTTCATATCACAAGATAAACATATTCAATGAACTGATACCATATTACAAAAAGATAAAAAACAAATAAGAGTAAATTTGGGATTTATTTACTCACCTTGCAGACTGATCTAATGAAGTAGCGTGTGTATGACATGCCAATTCGTATTTCCATTTTTTCCATCAACACGCATAATCGCTTTTCAGCGTGTTTATGAACGCCGTTGACTTAACGTTATTACTGTATATGAAGAGTTCAGATGCAAAAGCCTCTAAGTGCCATTTGAAATTTTCTTCTAGAATGACCATTTTTATCAAGCTTGTGTATTTAAGTTTAGTAATTTCACTTAAATTACAATTAATAGGTAATCTTCCTTGCAATTTAAGTGAAATTACTGAACTTAGATATACAAGCTTGATAAAAATTATCATTCTAGAAGAAAATTTCAAATGGCACTTAGAGGCTTTTGCATCTGAACTCTTCATATATAAATATATAACTTACCTCAACCCCGTCCCTAAACCTAACCGTCACTGGGGTTAATGGCATTTATGACTGTTCCCTTACCATCCTAGAAAAAAAAGAAGATAGCTCCCCAGATGTAGATCTGGGTAAACATATGACGGCGTGTACAGACACGCGGAATCACTCGGACGTTAATGGCGTAGACATACACGCATAAAAGCGGATACACGCGGATAGATCAAAATGCGTAGAGATAACACGCCACTTTCGAGTCAATCTCGACGCATTTTGAGCTATCCGCGCGTATCCGCTGTATGTTTACGCAAAAGTCATGATGTCATGTTGCACCTGGCATGCCTTTCTCTTTCTTTCTGAAACAAAGCAAAATATGCGATGCCAAAACTCTCAACATTTGTTAACTAATTTATGGAGAATCCAAATTAAAGGTGCATTGCGCAACATCTCATGTTAAAAATACCCATTTTTCGAACCCAACAATTGCCTGATGGGCTGAATGAGCCCTTCTCTGATCACTGCGATTGCCTCTATAATCCTGTAGAGTAAATTAAATAAGAGGGATTCGGGGCGGAGTTTGAGACTGGGTGGGACGTCATGTGCGTTCACGCTCGCCTGACGGGTTTGTGTATTCGCCGGCGTTCTCCGTATCAGCGAAGACAACTCGAGCGACACAACTTTAGTCAACTTTTCACAAGTAGAAGATGGATTCAAAGAGACCGGCTTGTAATTAATTCCAAAACCCCAACGCAAACTCCACGTGAGACAAAGAAAATAAAACTTGTGTCTCGTGCCAGGCGTCGGAATAAGACGAGAGTTCGACATAGGGAAGTTTTCACCAAATGGAGAGATCTCCGCTCTGCTCTAGGGCTCAAACGGGATACAAAGTAATGACTTATATTGTTCATGAACGTATTTTCATTATAATACAATCATAAGTGGATACAGTAAACACATAAAACAGTTCAACATGGAGTAAGATGGAAACAAAAAACTAAGTTTTCTACTAATGTTACCCCCGTTTTCCCCTCACACATAAGTGTGTAATTTACTCAAACGCCTTTCCTTTCATATATTTCAAATGACTTGCAGAACTTCATTACCTCTGAAGACATTATGACTGTAACAAAAGATTTGTGCGACTGATTCTCCTTTGGTTATGAACAGCTCGTGCAAGTGTGCGTGTGTGTGGTCCATGAGCGTGCCCATCTCTGGTTGCAGTTTCGCTTGTCGCCAGAGGGGGCGTAGCTCTGCAAAAACTCAGAGACTTGCGCAATGCACCTTTAAACACATCAAACCTTATTGGTATGTGACTAAGAAGGTTTCAAGGTGTTGACGTTTAGTCATGTTTGTGGTTAGACTGAAAAAAAAAATGAAAATGCAAAATATCCTGAATTGAAAACAAATACATCAAAGTATAACGTATTTCCTGCACGTATGCACTGGTATACACTGGCAGTCATTCATTCCAAACACAGCAACTGTAAGATAGAGTTTTAATGAAGCTGGGATATTCAGGGATTAATCTGTAATAAGAAGGATTGGATATTGATCCCCTAAAACCACATGATCCGACAGATATAGAAGTAAGGCTACAGGACAAGCGGAACATGACTTGATGAGGAAGGACGTTTTTAACCTTTAATTGCAGCGTTTTAGTTTGCCGTGTTTTAGTTGGGAACAAACACAGGTGGTTCATTCCACGTAATTAACATCAGGATTAACATTTATGTCATTATTCTTACTAAACATCTCCTGTAGCTGCCATTTCAGAAGCACAAGGGAGCAGTACATCATGTGAATCTCTCTCTCTCTGACTGACTCATGAATAACGAGTAATTATGAGACGCTGATCCACTAGTAGCGCTCCGCTGTGATGTGATTATAGATAAAGGGGGTGACCTTCGCGTCCCTGCTCTCTTTTGCCCTCAGTTCAACCTTAATCAACACAGATCAGTTCAATTTACTCCGCCTGCCATCTCTGCGTAGGCCGGGACAGCAGACAGGCTGAAGGCGAGTCTGACACCCACAGCTAGTCTTCGGCGTTGTACTGCAGTGGAAAGTGATATCCGAGGTGCTTCCAGGGCTATTCGATTTCAAAGCACGCAGAAAGTTTTGTTAAAAAACACCTTGAGCAAAACATCTCAGGCAAATTCGCTTAGTCAAATGCTATTTAAGGTGTCCACCCCCTGAAGGAAAGAAAAAATCACGAACGAGATCTCTATTGTTTCTCCTACAATGACATTAAATGGAGAGCAACTCTCCTGCCTCCCTGGTTTTTTTTTCCTGAGAAAACTTTAATGTACGACTTATCTGAAGTTTCAGAAGACATCTCAACAATGTTCTAAACTATTCTCAGATCTGCCAAGATCAGAGATTTCAGTGTGAATTCAAACTTTTCTGTCAGTCCATCAGAGGATGTTTGATGTTTAATATATACCTGTGAAGTGAGATTTTGGACCACTGAGATTTCGCCGTGATCGGAGCTACTCGGGACAACACAATAGAAACCATGTTCTTGTCCTGGGCCCTGGTAGCCTGGTTCAACCAGACTCTCGTACATTTCATTTGTACATAGAGTCTGGCCTCTCTCCATTGAGAAACGTTTACTTCCATGTAGGCGGGTTCTCTGTTAAAGTTCAAAACTATTGGATCTGCCACTGTGAAGATCTAAACATATTTAGATATATAGGAAATCGCAATGGAAGACAATTTCCATATATCTAAATATGTTTATTAAAAGGTAAAACGATCACTTCTGGTGGAACGTTGGACATTGGACAACTGATTCAGATCAGTTGGATGTGGCTGTGGTTACACGAGGTAAAAACAATATAAATACTGTTCGTTTTCTCACACAAACCGCTCGTTTCGTGTCTTAGGCCATCAATGTGTACTTACATTTACAAATCATTAAATCGTGTTTAATTTGGACTTCTCTGCATGCTCTTTGACGTGGACCCCCTAAACCTCCATTATATGACTGACAGACAAGAACGGTTTGACCTAAAAATATCAAAACTGAAAATACTGTGGAAACAAAGACACCTACATCTTGGATGCCCTTGAGGTAAGCTAAAACATACCAAAATTTAATTTCAAAGTGACTGAAATAAATATGACAAAAAAACATAGCACTAAAATTAACATGAATATATGAAGAATTCAGATGCAAAAGCCTCTAAATGCCATTTGAAATTTTCTTCTTTAATGATGATTTTTTATCAAACTTGTATATTTAAGTTCAGTAATTTCACTTAAATAACAATTAATAGGTAATTATCATTGCCATTTAAGTGAAATTACTGAACTTAAATAAACAAGCTTGATAAAAATGATCATTCTAGAAGAAAATTTAAAATGGCACTTAGAGGCTTTTGCATCTGAACTCTTCATATATATATATATATATAAAAAAACTAATCATATAACAACTACTAGTATAGATAGGCCTACAGTAAATACTACTAAAATAACACAGAATGAAAAATACATGAAATACCCATTACATTTTCTGATCAATCTCTGAGCAAAATTGCTAATTGTGTTTTGGTTGCAAATTAAAGTGGTGCCACATTAAATGATAACTACCGATATTAAAGTAGAGACACCTAAAGATGGGTTTTCAGCACAGGCATTTTAAATTTTAAAGACGGACGAACTGCTTTTTGTAATAAGCACGTTTGCGCTTGAAAGCAAAACCTGAGCATTATTTGCTTGCCGTAACAGTCCCTGAAGTAAACAGATCAGAGAGATGATATACAGTATACGTGCGGCAGAAGCTTATGAAGGAGGAGGCGAGTTTGAAGCATCGAAGTCTGAAGAGTGCAAGACCCTCCTCCGTCATGTGTCTGTTTGTGTGTGTTTGTGCGTGATTTCTTCCTCTGTCACAGATAAAGTCGTGCCATACGTCTGCTGCCACAGCTGCTGATAAGATGCTCACAAATAACTCGCCTTCCTGAAGCTGTCAGAAGCCTCTGATCTGATATTGATTTCTTCTCCAAATCTAGCTCATCAGACTTCACGTAAGAGGAGAGGCAACAGAAACAGAGAGCCAGAACATTGTTCACCAACACATGCTTTATTGGCTTGCAACATTTCTGTGCTCGCCTTTTAAAAAGGTCACATGACATGTACCTTGCACTGATAGCCAGCTGGCCTTTTGAAAACGCTTATTACTTAAATCAGATTTGATATAAGCGGTCTAGTCATCTTAACACCTCGCCTAGAGGCACCGGCTCTTTTCTGCTTACAATCCGCGACCAATTAGCTGTGTGGCAGCAAAGCTAATTAAAATAAGCTAAGCATAATGAATCACCTGCGCTGACAGCAAACTGCCACCGGTGACGAATGCTGCCGTTTGACGCTATCGGCTTTGGCGTTAATCATTGTTACCTTTATCCATGAACGTTAATGGTGGGATTTACAGGGTGTGCTCTGAGACCTCCTGGACGGGCTTAACGCTTAAATCTACTCTTTTCAGCGGAGACGTCATCTGGCGCCTTAAAAGCATTGAGCTTGAATGCTCGTCTCTCTTTGCTGACTGATGCTAGTCTTATGAGACAGCAAAAATGCATTAGTGCCAATCGAGAGTGTTTTAATTGTATTCTTGAGTGCTTTTAGAAGATGGCACTTTTAGATGGCCAGCTTGACTCAGGAATTGTAATGTTCGTTCTCATCCATCAAACTGCATGCAAGTCAATTTTTGAAAAGTAGTGGCTAGGATTTTGGGTGTACATAGACTTGTTTTTTTCCCCTGCTATCCAGAACTTGATCCAAACTGATGAGCAAAAGTATTATGACCAATCACATGTGAAGCGGATATCATTGATCATCTCCTAACAAGGCCACTGTAGATTGAAGCTACGTCTACATTAATCCGACTACAGTTCAAACAACAGACTACAGACATCCTTGTTTAATTAATCCTCGTGTTGTACAGTAGTCTACCGCATTGCTTAATCCAGAGCAGACACTTATCGCGGTTGAGATGTGGCTTGGGAAAGGGTAAAAAAAATACACACCGTCGCCCAGCCTCTCGGGAACCTAGTGTCAGATTTGTATGAACCCCATGCACACCGTTTGACCATTTTAAACTTAAAATGACAAGAAAAAACTAATGAAAACTGACTAACTGCAATGCATTTCAGTGGACGTGGAAGCAGAGAATGTCCGAGTGTATTGGGTTAGCTGCACACTGTGATTGGCTCATCGCGTTTGAGGGCGTGGCTTAGCCATATCAATTGATGCATAGAACTAAGTCCCTGCCCAAGGACGGATCCAGGGAAATGGATTTTTTTATTATTAATACAATTTTCTATTTTCTTCTAATTATTTGTTTTGTCATGCATTCAAACTCTTATCCTAATATTAATATGGATATGCTAATTAGTCTCATTAGTTACGTCACGCCAGTTGGTGTTGTGGTCTACCGCATAACTTAATCCAGAGAGACTTATCTCAGTTGAGATGTGGCTTGGGAAAGGGTAAAAAAAATAAATAAATACACCGTCGCCCAGCCTCTCGGGAACCTAGTGTCGGAGTTGCATGAACCCCATGCACACCGTTTGACCATTTAAAACTTAAAATGACAAGAAAAAACAAATGAAAACTGACTAACTGCAATGCATTTCAATGGACGTGGAAGCAGAGGATGTCCGAGTGTATTGGGTTAGCTGCACACTGTGATTGGCTCATTGCGTTTGAGGGCGTGGCTTAGCCATAGGTCAATTGTGCATTGGTTATGACAAAAATAAATACTCACCAGCTTTAACGATGGAGGAGGATTTCTTCATTTCTATTTCTTATCAAGTCATAGGCTGCATTTCTGGTGAAAATTCATTTAGGCAAGATTGCCAGGTTGTGACATGCCCTTATCCTCAAAAACTGTAAAATAAAAGCATACAAGTTAAAATATAATAGGATCACTTGCAAGGAAGCACAATGTGTTTTGAGGCAAACTGGTGGCTGCCAAGTGCCAAAGGCATGCAACCATTGAAGTTGGTGCAATGACCAAAACCACAGATGAATGTAAACATTGTTAAATCTTCAGTCATCTCAAAGGGGATGCTTGGATGCTTTTTGCATTTTCTACAATTAAATGGATGATTGACTTCCAAAGCATCATATGTAGAGTAAAGCCCAATCTTGCCTTAATCAACACAATTTTATTTAGTGATTGCACCAAGTTCTTTTGATAGCCTGACCTCAGCTTCTATATGCAGGGTGCATCATGATACATTACGTTTCCCAGAGCGCAGTAATTACCATGACTCTGATAGAGCCGGGTGACATATCACCAAAGCAGAAGATCACATTCATCTAAATGCCTGTCACAAGAGGAAATGATTGGTCATTCCTGAAAGGAGACTGGACAAATGCCACGATTTCACAGGGAGCTCCAGGGACTTGCCTTGCTGATTGATATTGCGCCTGATGAATGATCACTCATACTGTATGTACACCACTATTATCATGTTAACATGCTTAGGAAGATTATTGAGGTAAAGCAGAAGAAAAGCGATAAAAGCAGATTTGTAAATGTGCCAAATTCCCACGATGCTTCGTCCTGATCTAAGTGTCTATCTACACTTTTTTCACTTTCGTAACATCTGGTATTGTAGAATAAAGATATGATTAATCCTGTTGAGACTTGGTCTATCTCTAGATATAGATATTACTGAAAGATATGATTAATTTAAGTTTTGTTAACCCAATAAACTTGAATAGTCAGTTGCATGATGGATATCCAACGACAGAATTATACTATTCTTATCATGCCCAAAGCCATTATCAGGGAACAAATACATATTAATGCAATCTTGAAGGTGTATATATGCACAGAATAATATCTTCTTACAGTACAAAGTTGTAAAGCCCTTCAGACTGGGCAAAGGCACTCTGTGACCTTCTTTTTCACACACTTTTCATTTTTAATGCAGAATTTAATCAATCCCCCACTCTCTCTCTCATCTGCACAAAGGAAATTGCCATCACTAATGAATGAGAACAAAAAATGACTAAGTTAGTTTTGAAGCCAAAGTAAACACTGTTTAATTTCTCAGTTAGATTAAGGGGAAGTGTGGACCTGCATCACAATGGAAGAGTGACTGACGGTTAGCATTAAGGTTAGCATGAGGTTCAAATTCAATGCTTGAAAGTTATGCATTTCTAGGCATGGTTCTGTTTAGTTTCTTTGTGTTTTAGTTTGGTTTCTGTGGTTTTATTCCTTTAGGTCTCTGATTAATTACACATGCGTATCATTTAGCTCCCTTGTATGCTTCCCTGTTTTGTCGAGTTCATTGTCCGGTGTCGTCAGTGTTATACGTGGTTGTTATTGTTTCCTCCTGCTATCACCTGAGTTTTCTGTTTGGATTTAATACGTTTTTGCTCTATCCCTTTCGCCGTCACCATGCGTTTCATTGCAACAACCCACTGTGACACACTTTATGTGGGTTTGAAATAAATTAGGAGAGTTAACATGAAATTTCAAGGAGTGACACAAGTATTGTGTTGGATTTTAAACAATATGTTTCTAATTCGGATAAAACTTTTAGATAGTCATGACAAGGACTATATCAAAAGTGGTGCAATTTAGTGGCGCACGTTTGTGACTCTCCTGTTCGAACTCGTTCATCAAAATGAACAAATCTTTTCCTGAGTCATTTGGTTCATTCAACAAACAAAACGAACAAATTGACACAGAAAAAGATTCGTTCATTTTGATAAACGAGTTCGAACAGGAGAGTCACGAACGCACATCAGAGCAAGGCGAGCAATTGAGCTTATAAAACTTAAACTTTTTTATTTTTTTAAAATGAGCGATCGTTTCGCTTGATAAGACCCTTATTCATCGTCTGGAATCGTTTAAAGCCCTTTGAACAGTTTGCAGTTTGCACTGAACCTGTCTTTTGGACCCCATTGAAGTCCATTGTATAATGAGAAAAATCCCGGAATGTTTTCATCAAAAACCTTAATTTCTTTTCGACTGAAGAAAGAAAGACATGGACATCTTGGATGACATGATGGGGGTGAATAAATTATCAGCAAAAGTTTTTTTGAAAAGTGAACTACTCCTTTAACTCAAGGACAGGTGTCTCATAATGTTTATATGATCTTCGCATTGTCCATCATTTCAGCATATCAGGGAGTCTGCCAATTATTATTTGATTTCGAAATCCTTTCTCATAATTTCTACGGCAATTAAGACGAAAGGTAAGTGTTTTTCTCACCCTTGTCATAATCACAACAATCATCCTCATGCTAATTAAAATCCACACAAGCTTCAACACTGACGGAGAGTCCAAACGTCTCCAGTGTTCAGACAGTTGGTTGTTTCAATTCGGACTAATCAGTTAATTAACTTAAAATACAGATGCTTAAACTTACCGAGGGTTTTGAAGAGGCGAAGAAGGGTCCTTTTGACCCTATTCTATTCACTTTACGTCCAATGCTTCAATTTAAGAGCTGACGGATACCACATTTCTAAAATCAGCCATGAGAGGTTTACTTAAACTGAGGTTTCTTTTACCCCCTCTGCATCTCCTCGTGAGCACGCTGTCATTGCCGAGGGGTTTGAAATATTTATCAGAAGTTCCTGTTAATTAAAACAGAGAAGGAGGCTTCAAATGTCCTTAATGCTAATCCAGTTCACTGAACCTCTGCCAGTGTTACAGCATCTGTCACTCACTTGTAACCTAAAGCACCATGGGTATCAGCTACGTCCCTCCAGCTGAGCTTGGCAAGGAAAGGAGGGTTTGTTCTGCCTGTCGTTTGCAGGAGTTGTGCTGCAGAGAAAAACAATTTGGGGGTGAAATGGCAGACTCAAGTCAAACAAAGTAAAAACAGTCTGCAGAAAACAAAGTGTTGAGTTCCACCCTATTAAAGGAACATTAAAGGGTGGAAGTTGTGCTGAACTGAAAGCACTTGTAGCACAATGTTGACTATCCCAAAATGGTAACACTTTACTTGAAGGGGTGTAGATAAGACTGACATGACACCTTGACATTAAATGAAGTTAATCTGTCATGTGGTTGGCTTTGACATTGGCTGTCATAAGGCCATTATAACTGTCATGAATAGTTTTCGTGACCTCAACTACAGTGGTACTAATTGAATTTGTCATTAAAAAGTTATAATGGCTTCATGGCGGCCAATGTCAAAACCAACCACCTGACAGTTTAATGTAATGTTAACCAATAAAGCTAAGTGGTTTCTTAAGTTTGATAATGAATCTGCCATGTTGTGTTTATGACAGGTTGTGTTGCCTTAGTAATGTCAAGTTGTCATGACAAAGACACTGACAGTCACAGGTTGTGATGTATTGGTTTGTCAAGATGTCATAATAAAGACATCTCAAACAATGTCATATTAGCATTAAAATGTCATAATTGACCGAATGACACTTAATGAGAGTTGTCATAAACATGCATAAAACCTCCTTCATGTTCAAGTGTTACCAAATACACATTGAGCTTAACCTGTATTAAAAACTACACTGTAAAAAATATTGTTGGTTTAACTTAAAAATTTAAGTAACTCGGTTGCCTTAAAATTTGAAGTTCATTGAACTGGAAAAATTGATTTAATACAATGAAGGAGATTGATTTAAGCATCAGAAACTCAAATTATGTTATTATTATATTATTATGTTATGTTATGTAAACTCTATTATGTTATCTGAACTGCATAAATTATTTAAGTTGATATGACAAAAGAAAAAATGTTGTGATTACAAATCATGAAAATATATATTTTTAAGAGGTCATGTTTACCTAGTTGGACTTAAAATGTGTGTTTTTTGTCCTCCATTTCAGTTTGTTATGCAACTTATTTACCGCCCATGAACCCACACAACCCCCATGCCCCAGTAACTCAACTATAGTGTGGAAAAAAGTAATTATAGATAAAGACAATCTATGAACAAAAGGTCAACGCAGGATTATTGGTACATTTGTCCCTCTTTTGAGAGCAAAATGCCCCTTCAAAGGTGAAATGGACATTTCTATAGTTTAACTCCATGCATCCTCTGGACAAAATACAACTACTGTATATGTGTGAAAGAGGCAGAGAGAGAAGAGAGAGCGGTTTACTTACATCCTCTACGCTAATTTGTGCATACATCCATCTCTCCGCTTTGTTAGATACGCTGCTGTGATGAAAGAATGGTCAAAGAAAAAGCAAATCACATTAACATAGTTTCCCGCACCTCATCTTTAGAAAATGTGTGTGTGGATAATGAAAGTCTGTCATACGCAATTTAATTTTGGCTCCAACTTGTGCTCTACTCTTAATAAAGTAATTTAGATGATATTTACTTTAATCTAAGCATTGTGTGGTATGTATCTCAAAGCCTGAAAGCAAACAGCAGAATTCAAGCGGCTAAAAATTCAGAATATTCTCAAGCTCCCACAGCAGATGTGAAGCTCAGAAACAGTTTCAAAAATTGAGATGGAAAAAAAACAAACATGAAAAGATAATTTCAACTGAAATATAGAACAAACTGAACAGACTGCTGTGAAGCCACATCTGCCCATCTGTCTCGCTTCATCTGTCCATCCATCACTGATATTCCACATTTGTGCTAAATAAAACCCTGGTTTTTGGATCCATGAATGTTTCAGTAGTTCTAAGGACAGAAGAGCACAACACAAAAAACCTGCGATAAAATACAACATGGCAGAGTCTACTGAGAACTTTGTTGATTTGTCATTCTGTGTTCGAACAAGGCGTTCCGCAATAAAACATAAAACACTAAATCACTTCCGATTTAATATCTGAATCATCCCTGACCACCAACAAGGTCATGTGCTATGACATTTTGACAGATGACTGTTTTCCACTTTGACATGTTGAGCTGGATCATACTGAAGACTGTCACACCTATAGTATATTGGACAAGGTGTTAGATGTAAATTGATCTCAGGGATATGATTTAATGATTTATTTTTTTTATATCAGAGCAATATAGATAGATAGACAGATAAAAAACCCACTCACTTTAAAGGAGTAGTTCACTTAAAAAAAAAAAAAAAAAAAAAAACTTTTGCTGATAATTTACTCGCCCCCATGTCATCCAAGATGTCCATGTCATTCTTTCTTCAGTGGAAAATAAATTAAGGTTTTTGATGTAAACATTCCAGCATTTTTCTCCATATAATGCACTTTAGTGGGAACCAAACGGTCCCAAGGTCCAAAAGACAGTTTCAGTACAAACTGCAAACTGAACAAATCTTTTTCTGAGTCATTTGGTTCATTCAACAAACGAAACGAACGAATTGACTCGGAAAAAGATTCGTTCATTTTGACGAATGAGTTCGAACAGGAGAGTCACAAACGTGCGTCACAGAACAGAGCAAGGCGAGCATTTGAGCTTATAAAGCTTAAAAATTGTTATTTATTAAATGAGCGATCATTTCGCTTGATAAGACCCTTATTCGTCGTCTAGAATCGTTTAAAGCAATTTGAACAGTTTGTAGTTTGCACTGAAACTGTCTTTTGGACCACTGAAGTCCATTATATGGAGAAAAATCATTGATTTTGCTTGTACAGTGTCTTGCCTTAAAATAACTTTGAGTAACCTGTTGTATCATTTTAATGAATATTAAAATGCAATAGCCATCATTCTACGCACGAGTTAAATGCGTGCCTGGGTCAACATATTCGGTTGATCCTTGAACAACTGAAAATTTTAGCAAAATATTCCCTACCTCTAAACCTAACCCTACACATAACTCATCCATAAAATCAGAGGGGAATTATAGGTAAATAACACTGATATACTGTAGACGAACCCTGTAAGCCTAAACTTGGCTTGTCTCTTAAATCAGATTGGTCGATTGAAATGTTGTTACACATATACAGTATGTTGATCCAAGAACACGTTACACTTACCACTTTTTTGTTGTTGTTGTAAGGGACTGAATCTATCTGAGTTCCTGTGATGGTCATCTTGTGGTCCAATCAGACCGGAGGTTATGCTATGCGACAGTCAAATGATAAATGTCATATTAAATTATCAAACCTATGTTTTCTTGGACAGCCAGGTAAAAGAAAGTCTTCAAAGCCACCCCTTTTCACCCACAGTAGCATTGCAGCCTTGATGATTCACATCGTGGGTCGTAATTACTGCTGTGACATTTCCTATTAATTAGGTTACCGGTGAGTCCTTGCTTGGATTTCTTTGTAGCAAAGGTCAACCTCGGCAAAAGTCAAAGGACCGCCATGCTGCACTTTGCAACGGAGCGACTTCGAAGGTAATTGCTTCGATTGCCAATAGTTCGCCACGGACACAGTAGTCCATATTATAAACCATCTGCAAGCCACCTAATGCTTCAGAGAAGTCAAATGTTTGGGTTTAATAGCCTCCTACGAAGGGTCCTGCTCACAGTGAGGTAAAAATGACAGCATACTAACACAAATATATAAATAATGTCAAGCAAACAGCAGGCGTAATGTCTTACGCACATGAGCAACTTTGAGACACGGCTTTCATTAGCGCCATCCTGCCGCGATCTAATCAAGAGATGGTATGTGAAGATGTCTTCATCGACAGCATTTGTGTTTCATCTGATTAATGAATTTATACTTGAAAGCGCAGAGTTTGTCTTTGTGATGTGAATCGAACAGACTGCGATGATCAACGCCGCTCCATCTGGCCATTAGTTATTCTCAGTGCTCTGATTCAGTCACACTAACTGGAGTTAAACTTGGACCGTGAATATCAAATGACGGAGAACTGTCGCTGGTCTTGTTTGCTGTCTGAATATCCCTCATTTGTTCTCATTGTGAACAGAGTTACATGTCTGTGTGTAACAAAGCCCAGTTGCTATGGAGAACCTTCTCAAGGGAGCGATGCTGCTGTACAGGCAAGACCTTTATCAGGTGAAATTACAGGAGTGGACTGTTGGCTGCCACTGGCTGAAAGCGTCTTGATTCAAATAACATGGATAATGCGCTCTTCTCTAGAACACCGGTCATTAAATCATCTGTCTGCATAGACTGAGTGTATTTGTAATTTGACTGTCAAGAACATGTCCAATCATTGCTTCGTGGGCAGCGCTTCAAACATATGGCGAGTTTATATTCCGGCTCTTTCTTCCAGTCCTACTGTCCAGTCATTTCTTGTCTCTCTTCTCAAACTGTCCTATAAAAATAAAGCCAGAAAGGTCAGAATTATTCTTTAAAAACGTAACATGTCTTCACCCTTAAATTCAAAAGACAGAAAACGGCAATCGCATTTCCCCAAAAACAAACCCAATTTTTTGTATCATGAAGATGTTTTGCATTGTGATATCATACTGATGATCCTTATCGGGTTAGGGATTATGTTAAGATAATGCAGAAAAAAAGAAGTTTTGTAGGTAATGGTTTTGCTGCATTCACGCCATGTCATAATTACCGTAATCACAATTGCATAGTCACAATTTCATGATAACTACACAAGAATTATGCATTTCTATGGCAACACTATTAATAGCCAAATGAGTCGGCAGTGATCACGTGGTACAAGTAGGAGCTCTCAGAAAATTCCCAGGATACAAGTTATATTTACGACTAATACGAAGACTTGAATGCATATTACAAATTGGAATCCTGTCATTACAGCAATTACAAAAGACAGACAGACAAACAGACAGATACAGTGGATTGACGGATGGACGGACAGATAGATTGATGGATGGATGGATGGATGGACGGAGGGACGGACGAATCGATGGATGGATAGATGGATGGATGGGTGGATGGACGGATGGATGGATGGATGTACGGATGGATGATTGGACAGACGGACGGATGGATGGGTGGATGGATGGATGGATGGATGGATGGATGCATGGATGGATGGAAGGATGAATGGATGGGTGGATGGATGGACGGACGGGTGGGTGGATGGATGGATGGATAGATGGGTGGACGGATGGACAGATGGGTGGATGGATGGACGGATGGGTGGATGGATGGATTGATGGACGGATGGATGGATGGGTGGATGGACAGATGGATGGGTGGATGGATGGATGGATGAATGGATGGACGGACGGATGCATGCATGGATGGATGGATGAATGGATGGGTGGATGAATGAATGGGTGGGTGGATGAATGGACGGACGGATGGACGGGTGAGTGGATGGATGGATGGATGGAAGAATGGATGGATAGATATGGAAAAGATAATTTTTGGTGGAAATTCAGTAAATGAGAAAAAATATGTGAATTAAATTGTCAAGTATTTCTAAATCATTTTAGTATTCATTGCAATGCCTTTAATGCTGATTGCAAAAAAACAAACATTGAGGAGGATGCACTTAATTGTCATGTAAATAATTAAATGCAAAAAATGTTTAATGGTCTTTACGCCTTCTTTGTTGGCTGGTTTTAGAGAGATTTTGGTCACTCTGTAAAAACGGCTGGACCAGCTTTAACCACCTGAGTCAAGCAAACAAGTTTAGGCTGGTTCAAACTGTTTTTAACGAAGCCATATTAGTGTACAGCTCCTGTGATCAGATACGTCCAGAAAGTGGGTTTGTGGTGCCAGGTGCTTGCGCCATTTGCCTGATTTTTCTGTCCTGGATAGTGGATTTGGTAATTTTACTCAACATTTTTGTTTACTTACACAATTAACTAATCAGTACAGCAGCTGTGGGAAGCGACCTCAAGGTGTTGCCTAGCAACTTGTGCGCTGTGGTCTGGCTTCACGCTTGATGTGTGCGACTTACTGCAGCAGTAAAACTGTCTTCCCAACATCTCTGATTTGTGCCTCTCCAGGCCTTATGAGTGTTTGTGGTTCATAACAGCAAACAGTTCGACAGCACACTCTTAAATCCGATAGCAGGGGCGCACACACATACACACGCACGCAACCTCTGCATTGTCTCAATTTTTCCGGATTCAGCTCTGACCTTTGCATTAATAATACGAAACAAAGAGACAGCTCGAGCCGAGATGATGTCCTCATATACCGGCGAATGATTTCAGTAAGCAGCACATAATTCTGTGTTATGGAGCATAAAAATAAAGAGCTATTATTGCATTCCCTGCAAGCCGTAATCACATTTACTGGGCTTTGCTCGCAGTTGGACTTGCTTACAATGCTATACGCTTAAATTAATGAGCAACTGCAGAATCAAATGATCTGTAGATAGATGAGGTTTCAGCGCTTGGCTAAACGACTCGTAATAAATAACCCTAGCCCACAGGTTAACTGAGAATTAAAGGCTATTTTATTGCATTTGGATGTTATAGCTGCCTCTGTCAATAGAAAATGCTTAAGTGATGCACTGTTGACCTTAACGCTTCTACTGAGATGTTGCCCATGAACGTTTGGATTCAGTAAGGTCACTTCACCTAATTGAATTCCCTGGAAACCCTTCGGAGAACATTTGCGGTTGCCATTTCACTCAATTTACCGCAGAACGAGAACGAAAGCCCCTCGAGCGGTGGGGAGATTCATGATTTATTTTGAAGTTTGCATTAAGTAAGAGAGAGAGAGAGAAGAAGAACCATCCGGATTCATGCGGTTAAACTGTCTAGTAGCTTCTCCTTCGATGGGCGTCCCTGCTGTGACTGGCACTGTGTGCGGACTGACAAATGGGAGTCGTTCGAGAAATTCCCTCTGGCTTTATCCCCAGTCAGCCTCGGCTGTTTTATTTGGAGATTACAGCGCTTGTTGATGTGATACTCTGTTCCGACATCAAAGTTTGACTGATCTCGCAGGCAGTGTTGAAATCATCCTGTTGAAAAACTTTCAAAAGCTCTTGAAACACCAGGGTATTGCTCCGGCTGTAAGGTCCCAGGTGGTTTTGTGACTTCTTTTCTTTTGAGGTATTTCCACGTAATCAAACATCTCATCTTTGATGAGAACAATCACGAATGGACCACAGAGCTCATAAACAACAGCAAAATGATGAGTGAAAAGACAAGAGTTTGAATAGTCTCATTCACACTCCCACGAGTCAGTGATGATGTACACAGTAGGGAATGTTGTAGATCCTCCTTCAATGCCAACGAACAGAAGTAGAATGCATTACCAACGGCAGCTTCTTTCAGCAGTGAAGTCCAAAACTGTCAATAGAGAGAGAAAATCGAAAATGAAATGTCTTGAATATTATTAGAGCAAATCGAGATTTGTTTCCTCTAGAGTTTCAGAAGAGATCTCAATAATGTCAAATTGAACAAAAGCTAATTATCTGAGCAATATTATATCCCCAATATGACGATAATTGTTTAATTTGAATCAATTTTATTACTCCTGTAAAAAATGTTTCTTATGTGAAACACAAAAAAACAATGCCATTACTCTCAGAAAAAAAGCTGTCACTGGGGCTGTATCTTTTCAAAAGGTACACTTTTGTACCTAAAGGGTGCATATTGGTACCTTAATGATACATATTAGCACCTAAAATGTACATATTAGCACCTAAATTTACATATTAGCACCTAAATGTACATAATAGCACCTAAAATATACATATTAGCACCTAAATGTACATAATAGCACCTAAAATGTACATAATAGCACCTACAATGTACACATTAGCACCTAAAATGTACATATTTGTACCTAAATGTACATAATAGCACCTAAAATGTACATATTAGTGCATAACATGTACATATTAGCACATAAAATGTACGTATTTGCACCTAAAATGTACACATTAGCACCTAAAATGTACATATTAGCACCTAAATGTACATAATAGCACCTAAATGTACACATTAGCACCTAAAATGTACATATTAGCAACTAAATGTACATATTAGCACCTAAAATGTACACATTAGCACCTAAAATGTACATATTAGCATCTAAAATGGAAAAAGTTTACCTTTTGAAAAGGTACAGCCCCAGTGACAGCTTTTGTTCCTTTTTTCTGAGAGTTCACAATAGATGTCAGTGGAGTCCAAAACAACATTGGACCCCACTGACATTCATTGCATGGCCAAACAAAAAAACAGAGACATTTTTTCAAAATATCCTTTTTTGAGTTCCACACATTTTTGGGAGAATTATCCCATTAAACTAAACATTAACCTACTAGAAATTATAACACAACTACCCCGAGCCATTAAAGAGCAACTTTTGAGGAATATAATTAATATTTGCTTACATTCATATGATTCTAATTGTGTCTTCAACCCAACATCCCTGTATTTATTGGCATTGAATCACAACACAGAGAAGATTACATGCTTGTTGATCCTCTTCAATACCGCTAATCTCAACAAACGTGCGGATAATCAAAGCTGACTTATCTTTCTGTGGCCAAATGCATGAAGGATCAGGGGTCTGTATTAAGAAATGATCAAATGAATCGCTGTGTAAAAAAATCATTTGATGCATGATCGGTATGACGGATGAAACAAATCCCGTTACTGTCGGACTGCCAGCGCAGTCGGTACATCTCCAGATTTGACACGTGTCATGCCGGTGCACTTTCCTCTTGTGTCCATAGCAACCAAGCACATCGTAGGATCTACTGCAGTGCTGACAGCTGATTGGTGATAGCGCTCTGATGTTGCGTTGACTCCTCTCATGATTTGAACCTGAGAATTGATTATCATCACAGTGAAGTGGAAGGAAAACATCAGCTGTCAGTTCTCACTGTACTAGAAAAATTGTGATTTCACACGCAAGTCCTCACAGGTTATGAAAATATATTTACTTTATTCACTTGAGGTCAAGACTGTTTCCAGAATCATTTTAAATGCCACATTAAAAATTAGTGGTGTTTGCTAAAGCTCATAATTTGAGTCAACAAACCATACTGTTTAAATCCGACCATCATACGAAACTTAGCAAACTCATACCAATTTGCTAAAAACCATTCAGAACAATGCCCTGCCAACTGCCCACAACATTAGCACATTAGCAGTGAGATTTGTGCATGCAATCGCCCCTCATATTTTGGGCAGGAAATGTAAAAGTCTAGTTAATTATACAGAAATTCCAACGAGAGGCCAAATGCCAACCCTTCCCTCTGAGATATGACCTGTGTCTGCTGCAGACCACTATTTTTACATCATTTTCAATTATCATCTAAAACAGGCCAGAGCCCCTGAGGAAAGGAGCCCGATTTCAATGCCAAGTCCTTTTTATTGCGACACACTGCAGTTTTCCACTTTCCCCTTTTTTTAATGTCTGATACAAGAGATCAGAATGGCATTAATGAATGTGAAAGGCAAGCAGAGCAATATGAAGTAATTTTAACTCTAGCATCACAATTATTACTACGCAGAACATTGCAAAGCAACGCAAAGCTCAGGGGTTTGATTCCCATGGAATGCATGGACTGATAAAATGTGAAAGCAATGTAATCACTTTGGATAAAAACACCTTGCAAATGCTTGAATGTCATTATTTAAAATTCGTAAGTTTACACCGTGTCTACGCAACATGTGAACGGCGCGATATAAGCAAATAAAACCCATTATAATCAGTGATGCTGTCTACACTAAATGCTGTGCTGCGTGACAAGACAGTATGAATGAATGAGGCATTTATATAGTGATATAATATGTACTAATGTACACCCCATGCGATTTACACATCACATATCACATCTCCCCTCAACCATATGTCCCCTTAACCCTCCCCAGTATGCGCCATCCACTGCCATTGGATGATCCGATCTGATGTTTTTGAATACAAAAACCAAGCGAATGTCATAAGTTGACCTCAGACAACAATATAATAAAATTTAAAAAGCCAGTTCATGACCCCTTTAATTATAATTTAAAACAATTCAAATGTAGCATGAACTAACTAGCCATATATCAAAGGACCAGAATAACATATCATCTCTTTGACTTTGTTCAGTAAGCAAGCACCTAAAAACACCCAGAATATCCTAGTAACCAACCACACAACAACATGTTGGTAATCACATAGCAAACATCATGCCAACCGCCCACAACACATAAACCACCCTTGAGCTTTTTTTTTTTTTGAGACTATGTAACAATTACTTCTACATTTCTACTCACCTGTTTGCCATATCTCTAACATAAATGAAAAGTGAATGTGGCGGGGATGGGCCTCAGATCCATTCTGCTAAATGTTTCTGAATGCATAAACGCATGATAAAGTGCCATTGTCCAGGATAATTACTTTAGAGAAGTGCTCTGGTTATGCACTAAATGCTGCAAAGTTTAGTGTGACACTGTTTTAATGATTTGAGACACAGGGGGTTCATCAAAGTGGCCTGAGCTCACGGAATGACTGACAGATAAATTAATGTTGTCAAGTCTAGGAGATGAATGATACAATCCCCTTTGAGCCATCGCTGCAGGGCTGAAGGATGAGACAGCCCTCTTCTGAGGTTTTGGCCTTTCATCCCATCAACTCGACATCCGTGGAACTCACTCAAAGACAGCAACAATGCTTAAAAACAAACACGAGGGAAAAGGGACTTAAGAGGTTTTAGAAGGTTTTACCGAAGTACCTCTGAAGTGGAGCCGCAGCTATTAAGACGCAACTTACTGACTTTTGAAAAACCCCATTGATACATAAAAAAAAAAAAAAAAACACATTTCGGTAGTAGGCGCGAATAGATCCATGCACCTTTATTAAAATTCCACGGCTTTCTCAGTTGGAATACTAAGGAGTTACACATGGGAAATCAGACTGTGAGAACTTGCTTTTAAGAGAATAGCAGTGAAGATAATCCCAGTAGCTTTTAACACGACTGGAAAAGTTCATCAGCTACGTGCTACATGCTAGTTGTGCTAATCAAAGTGCCTGCTGAAACCTCTCTTTTTTCTCAGTTTTAGTCTTCATTTTTCCCACTGCATGGTGTGATAGCGCTTCTCATTTAATTCTATTTGGACTTCCTTCCTTAAGAATTTCATAAGGAGCTTGCTAGTAAGGCTCCATGGTGTGCATGTTATTCTAATCCATCTTAAAGAAACAGTTACCCAAAAGTAAAAAAATGTCTTCCTTAAAAAAATTTTCTTTAGTAAAAAAAAAAGACTTTCTTTCTTCTGTGGAACACAAGGGGACAAATTCTGAAGAATGCAATACAACAAATGGGAAGCAAAGCTTTCAAGCTTCTTAAAAAGACAAAAGTGGCCCAAATTACTCGGGCATGCAATGTCCTGATTTGTGAATGAATTTTTGAGACAGATTTTTTCAAAGAATCATTTGATCCATTTCACAAAACAATTCTGAATGATTCATTCATGCATTGAGAAAAAAAAAATAGCATTTTAGAATAGCATTAGCTCAACCGATGTGGTGTTTAAACAATGGCAGAAGTGGGAAGTATTAATAATAATGCACATTACAGCTATAAACAGTCTATGTTGTGTTAAATGTTACATTTCCATTCCTCCAAGTTGAGAGTTTGTAATCTCCAGCACCAAGGTGGATATACTGTAAGCAACAGTGCATTACTAACACAATCTTGTAAAGATTGAAAAATATACATTTCTCCAGACAATTTCCTAATGCCTGGTGCTTCCCTCGAAAAACAAACCATTCGATCCACTTAAAAACCCAAAGGGCGTCATTTCCGACTCAGCACAAACCCTACGGTCAGTCCCCGAATGCTCCATTCGTCCCAGATGGCTGGAGACTTCCTTGGCGCTCCCCGTGAGCCATGAGTTATCTTTTCTAATTGCTAGTTTATGTTTTAACACTTGAGTTGATCACAGCTCATTCCAAAACGGCTTCGCCTCTAATGACTTAACACCCTCGATGACGACTGAGTTTGCACTGCGTCGTAAATCACGCTAATTAAACGTACTCGTCATCACAGATGAGACGGGATAGAGGTTGTGGAGATGGGGAAATGGCCATCATTTGTCGACATTTGCTTTCTGATTTACAGCGTGTCAAATGCAAATATTGGGCGTTGATGATGTCGTGTCAAATCCAATTGAGTGTCCATTACCTCACCATAAACATAATAAAGGGGGCAACACAAGGAAATGGCTCTTGACACAGAAATATAACAATCAGTCATGGTTAAATGGGCTTGTACATCCATGTTCTCGATGTGTATTAAATTACGGAATATTTATCTTCCAGTATATAGTGAGATTTCATCAGGATTAGTGTTCGGGGGCTCTCAAAGGCAGTTCTGCTCTCTGCAGCTGTGCTAAAACCCAATACTGAAGTCCCACTGGCTCTTGGCAGGCT